CCAGCCATAGATATAAGATAGGGTATAGGGAAAAAAAATAATAAAAAAAACACCCGGCTTAGCCGAGCCGAGCCGAGCCGAGTCGAGCCGAATGGCCATTTGGCTCAGCGACGACTTAGCTACAGTAATCAAAAACTGGCTCTTTTAATATAGGTAGAGATAATATATTTCTTAGATGTTAGTGACCAATCAATTTAAATATGGTTTGAATATTTTAAGTTGTTATATATTAAAACATGTAATTTATTAAATTCAATAATTATAAAGTACGAACTGAATTTGAAGAGACGAATTCATTCTTTATTTTAAAAAGTTAAAATAAAATTTATTTTTAGGTATTAACTCTTTAAATTAGAGAAATTTTGTTTGTAGGGTCTTTTGGAACCCATGTTGCTATTTTCCCTACAATAAACATCACTTTTTAAATTTACCTGTTCAATTACCGGATCTGTAATCATAAATCTCCAATTAAACATATCTTTTGCCCTAAATTCTAAACTAATCCCTGAAAACCACAATCCAATGCACTAAACGCTAGCCATATTAGATCCAACGGTCCTGCTCACTCTCCCGATATCTTACCATGATTTGATAGCATTCTCACTAGTGACTTAAATATGGATTTGGCTCACCAAATTTTCGTTTTGATGCTTAAAAAGTATATTTTTGTTCCAAATTATCTACTAAACTTTCATAATAGTTCCAATATCGTGACTTTGTTAGCAGAATTAGAGGATATTTTGTGGGGGATTAAAATTAAATTTTTAGTGGATTGTGATAAAAGTTTTTGAAATGTGTGGTTCAAAAGATATGAGACCCATGAAATATGTGATTAATATTGATTGTTAGACTTTGACTTAGATTAAAATCAGATTTTAATCCTGCCAAAACAAACCCTTAATGTCAATATGTTTACGCTATGAATGCCAATGTACAAATTGAACGTTAATCACGTTGCTACGCAAGATTAATAACTCTAAAATGGGATGACAAAATCCTAGGATAACAACGAGGAGAGAGTACTCTCTCATTTGCTCATTCATATTTAATTTTTGAATACAATTTAAATTTTAAAATATAAAATTAAATAAGAAATAAAGGGCTAGATATGTTCGAGATAAGGACTACGTTCCATGTCCTCATCCTGATTATCCTTCGAGGAGGAGTTGACAGATTATCTTGTTATCTCTACAAAACTCTTGAAGCCGATTTTGTTGACTTTGAAAATTAAAATCAAATTTGAATGAGGCGTGATGGTTTCATTTTCTTTACAACGCGATTAAGCTTTGTAAGAAAATGTAACAATTGGTATTAACGAAAATTCGTGACGGACTAGATTGGAACCGTTAGGGAACATTTCAAATGACCAATTTGAAAAAAAAAAACAATTAAGGACAAATATGAAATTTAACTGTTACTTTAGGGACCAAACGTATATTTAACCCGTCTTAAATACCAACAAGAAACAACTCCATTCTCACTCTCAAGAGTCTCTCTCTGATGATCAAATACAAATTAGCATTTTAAGCAAAAGAGTAGAAATTGAGTGTAGTTAATTCATTTTTTTGCGTTTAATTTGATTTGTTTTGCTTTGTTATTTGTGTAAATATGTATAAGAACCAGCTACAGGAGCTGGCGCAGCGGAGCTGCTTCAATCTGCCGTCCTACACGTGCATCAGAGAAGGACCCGATCACGCGCCGCGCTTTAAGGCCACCGTTAACTTTAACGGTGAGACGTTTGAGAGTCCCAACTACTGCTCCACGCTCCGCCAGGCTGAGCACTCCGCCGCTGAGATGGCGCTCAATGACCTTTCCACCCGTGGTCCCACCAACTCTCTCGCCGCCAGAATTCTGGTAAGGTTTTTACTTTTCGTTTTCGGGTTTTAGATTTTTTTTGGTGTTAATTTTTTGTTTTGCTACGTGAATTTGTTAAGAAATTTAATAGGAAAGAGGTAATGTAGTAGAAAAACCTTGTGGAGCTTCTGTTTCCAGTAATTGGAATTAGGCCTTTCTGTAAAAATGATAGGTTAAACTGCATTCATTTGATGAACTCTATAAAAAAATTAAGTTTCTATGGGGAAATGGTGCCAGCTTTACCGACTTCTTGAGCATTTATTCAACTGTTTATTTTTAGCAGCATGAATTAAACTTTTAGGAAGACAGTTCAAAATTTATATCGGTTTTAAGATCTTATAGTAGTTAATGCATTGTTAGAAGAAGGAATACAATCTCCTTAGCCTGTTAGTGGTATGTGCGCTGAAAAGCTAGTTGAGCTTTTAGCCTTTTGCATAAGTTTTGACATCATGTTCTGTTAGGGTTTGTTTTGCTGCAAAAGTGAATAACTCAAGTAAGGGAGTATGTAATCTGAATGATACACTTCAAATAGTTTTGTTAGCATTACAGCTAGTTTTGGCTATACAAGTTCATGAAATTTGTCTTAAATCTCACGCTTAGCTGCTTTACATGATAAACATGTCAGAAATTACTGTAGCCCACATCGGGCGATAGGATCTATGACACAAATGCATCGGTTACGGACAGGTTGGATCAAACTTTAGTTTTAAAGAATATAAGCCGAGCCGAGACAAGCTTGATTATAAATGAGTGGAGCTTGTCTGGGCCAGTTTCTGCTTGTGTGGTTTCAGAGCATTAAATAGGCACAAGGTGTATCTTTAACTTTTAGTTCCTTTTATTTCCTATAATTTTACACTTCTAATATGCAATTATGACGAGTTCATCAACTTTTTTCCAAATTTTATGTTGCGTCGAAGATGAAATTCACCTAGGTTTAATTGTGTGGGTTTGGAACTCCCATGGGACCATACATGATAATATGTGAGATGTAACGTATCAAAGTTGCCTTTTCTTAATAAAAAATTTATGTTAAAAAAAATTCAAATTTGAAGCTTTACAGGTGGCACAGTGTTCCTCATTTATTAATTTGTAAGCATTCATTAATGACTTGAGCTTGGATGGTTGTACGTGGTAGGAAGATATTGGTAAAACATGCCATTATTATTTCACTTTTTTTGAGTTAACCCAAGCTTTAGCATCACGCGTAGCCAAGCTCAATTGACCACTTAATGCTTGTAACTCCATAGCAGAACTTCAATTTTCTATCCACTCCTCTAGAGCTCCAGTTGGAACTACTACTTAGGTAACCAACCTGTGGAGCTAGAATGCAAGAGTGGGTAGATTGAGAACCTGTGATATTAGATAAATCACATAGTGCCTTTATACTTCTCAGTTAAATGAGCAAATCATTTATTAAATGGAATATAAATATGGAAAGTAGTGAAGTACATGCATTTTGAAAACGAGGCTCTGTTGAACTTAGTGTACTGAAAATAATATGTATTTATTGTAAAAAATTAGTCATTTGAAAAATTTGAAATCTATGGGATATGATACCTTGAATACATTATAGTGATCACGATCAAAGGTTCTAAGTAGCATGACTTGTTATCCCATGCATGATAGTGGGTTTACGATAGTGATCAATGATGGCTATTGATCTTATTGCCTTTCCAATTGCCAATGTGGATGCTTATTGTTCCTAAGGCTGAACTTTAGTGAAATCTTTAAGGCTAGTTTGAAGAGAGATCGGCGAGGAAGAAAATAACAAAAATGAGGGTGATTGATGGAGTAATTTTCAGAAAATATGACGTATGCATGTGTACATGTCATGCGAACAAGAACGATCCACACTGTGTCTGAACATCACGGAGTCTTCTCATTCCAATGCTTCATGCATATATTTCTTTGTCAGCCTGACATGTTCATATCTGCAAACTATGGCTGTCATTCCATATATGTGAAATTCGTTTGCAGCCTTCATCTCTTACATTTTATTTTTTTTCAGCCTCTCTCATATCTCATGGATTGCTCTCTGATGCTGTTTCTCTGCTGAACCTTGTGCTATACAGGATGAGACGGGTGTTTATAAGAATCTCTTGCAGGAGGTCTCGCAAAGAGTGGGATCATCTTTTCCTGCATATACGACTTTCAGATCAGGTCTAGGCCACCTTCCTGTCTTTACTGGTACTGTAGAGTTGGCAGGCATTATATTTACTGGTGAGCCAGCAAAGAACAAGAAGCAAGCGGAAAAGAATGCAGCAATGTCAGCTTGGTTATCTCTGAAATCATGTAAGATATCCAAATCCATGTTATCTTGCTTTTACTTGTTTCACTTTTCTGGAATTTATTCTATCATGGAAAAAATGATATCATAATCCTCAATATGTAAACTATATGCACTGATTTTACTCTATGCACTTAAGTAGGATGTGAATTTCCAGTATAACTGAAGAACTATGAGCATTACTGAAGAATGGGAAGGAAAAAAACACCATATTCCATACTATTTTCCAGAAATCAAAGCCAGCTTGAATATTGTTGGATAAACACGAACATTGTTCTCATTTTCCTTCTTCATCATCTCCCCCCCCTTCACTCAATACTTGGTAGAACTATGAAAAGGGCTGTCCAATCAGGGGTTTGGATTCTTAATAATGGTGATAGCAGTGATTTTAATGTGTTTGCTGTGGCATGTTAGGCCCAATGGTGGAGCCACCAATGTTTGGGAGGGTGTTGAATGTTGGAGTGTGCATGATTGTGAGAGAGGGCAGAACTTGCAAGGTTGATTTTTTTTTTCATCAGTTGGTAATACAATACTGTCATGTCCATGGCCTATTAATAAATCTATAAGTCAACGAAGGAAATCGATTATTTAAAAATGACCAAGACGAGCCAAAACCTAACCCACTTTCATTTGCAGTTTCTGTAGTAACATTTCGTTAAATTGAGAAGGTGTTTATCGCTCTGTTTCAGAATCAGGGACAGATTTTCAATGTTTTACCTAATATAATATCAAACTGAACCTTATTTGCATATAACTATGAGTCTGCTAGATTATTTCTTTTAATATTACTCTCTGATTAAGTGCTAAGACTAGTGAAAATAAAATTGATTTAGTTCCAATGCCTTAATTGAGGTTTTTCTTGTCCTTTAAATAATAGAATTACAGCCTCTAAAATGATTTGTCCTATACTAGGGATAGTATAATTATGTACAATCATATCTCGTATATTAGGAAATATAATCAAAACTTCTATTTTAGGAAGTTCAATCAAATCTATTAAATTCTAACAACTCATTGACATTCCTCTCAAATTGAATCTGGGCGATCAAGGAATATCAAATTATCAAACATAAACTAATGGTGATGGCGAGACAAAGCTTTGATAAAGACATCGGTTGTTTTATTTTCGGTGAAGAAGAGAAATCTCATAACGACCGATGACTTAATGAGCAGAATGACAATCTACCTCTATATGCTTGGTACGCTCATGAAAAATCAGATTACTAGCAATATCACTCGTATTATCAGCATGGAGAAAAGTATAGAAAGTTGTGAAAAACTAATTTCCCTCAACAAGCCCAAAGCCAATTTCAGAGCATTAAGATAACATGGTCTGATATTCAACTTTGAAACTCGAGCTTGCTTCTTACTTTTCTAAGAAGTGCACCACCAAGAAACTTGCACCAACCAGTGATAGAACGACGAGTATCAACACAACCAGGCCAATCCGCATCATTAAATTCCATTAATTGTAAAGAAGTTCTAGAAGGAAACCTTTGAGATATCGAAGAAGACGACATACAACAACTAAATGAGTTGGGTAGGAGCTTGCATAAACTCACTTATCTGTTGGACAACAAAGGAAATATCAGGTATAGTAATGGTCAAATAATTCAAGCTTCCCACCAATTGCCGATAAATCGAGGGATCAGATAAGGATTGCCACCGTCTTGGGCGCAACTTCAAATTGACCTCTATAGGTGTAAGAACCGAATTATTGTCCTGAAGATCGGCTAAAGTAAGGAGCCCTTGGGTAAGAGTGTCCCAGTTGGACAATGTTGAACCTAAGTCCAAGGAAGTATTGCAGAGGACCTAGGTCTTTCATATGAAATGAAGACCTGAGTTGCTATCGGAGCTACTTAAGCAACTAAGGATTAGAACCTGTAATCACATTATCATCGACCATCCCAGTATGATTTGTGCAACGAAAGAGGGAAGAGTTGTACTAACTCTAGTAAAAGTTAACTTTAGAAGCGTAGAATGGAACTTCTCAAACCAAGCTCGCAGTGCCTGTTTCAACCGTATAAAAATTGTTTTAAGTGACAAACTTCTTTAAAAGTAGAAGAAAACAAGCCAGGTGGAGGAGTCATAAATATCTCGTCACCATGAAAAAAATGCATTATTTACATTCATTGGCGAAGTGACCACCCTTTCGAGGCAACAATGGCCATAACTGTGCTGACAGTAATCATTTTAGCTATCGGAGCAAATGTTTTCTCGTAATTAAGACCATACTCCTATCGATTTTTGAGTGCCTCCAAATGAGCTTTATAACTTTTAATAGATCCATCAGCACGGAACTTGATGGTGTAAACCCATTTGCATCTAATAAGCTCAACTCCAGCAGGGCAAGGAACTATATCTTAAGTGTAATTGTCATGAACAGCCTGAAGTTCGTCTGTGATATCTCGTCATTGAGATTCTTGAGTAGAAGCAAGAATGTTGGCCATAAGAGCAGATATCAATAGCACCCCAAACGATAGTCACAACCACAATTGACCAGATTTCGCAGCTAGAATCCAATATTTATATTGATTTCTCGCAACCAAGATTCCTTCCACGCTCACCAGCAAACATACTAGAATAGTCGATAACCTAATGTAATTGTCAAACGAGAACATCGGACAGAGATTCCATCTGCCAAAATTCCTTCCACGCTCACTAGCAAACATACTAGAATAGTCGATAAGCCAATGTTATTGTCAAACGAGAACATCGGACAGAGATTCCACCAGATGGAATCCGGAGTAGAAACTGATGGAATCTCGAAAGAGACGCCGAAAATGCCGCCGCACCAAAAACCAAACAATTATAGTCCTTTGACCAAGAACGAGGGTTGCCGATCCAGAAATTAATCCTCAAGCACCTTAAATACCAAGAAAAGTCAAGAAATTTTCTTTTAGTTTGAAATCTCTGATACCATGATAAAATTGATTTAATTCAAATGCCTTAATTAAGGTTTTTCTTGTGCTTTAAATAGAATTACGGCCTCTAAAAATGGTATTTTACAATGATTTGTCCTATACTAGGAATATTATAATTACGTACAATCACATCTCGTAGATTAGGAAATATAATCGAAACTTCTATTTTAGGAAGTTCAATCAAAACTATTGTTTTGCCTATAAGCATTAGAGTGAAGAAGGTAATTGTCTTCCTCTCCTTCACTTCATTATATAGAGAAAATCAATAGTAAACGTATGGAAATAGAGTACAAATATGAAAACATAATAAAACGAATTGCACACTTGCCTAATCTACATTATTCTAGTTTATTTACTTCCTTAACACTCTCCCTCAAGTTGGAGTATATATGTCATTATGCCTAGCTTGGAATAAAGAAACCTCAACTGATTACCATTCAACGACTTTGTAAACATATTAGAAAGTTGGTCTACTGTCGTCACAAATGGTGTACATATCAGCACTCACTATTTTGTCTCGAACAAAGTAACAATCAACTTCAATGTTCTTGGTCCTCTCATGAAAGACTGGATTGGATGCAGTATGTAGAACAATTTGATTATCACAAAATATTGGAATAGTGGTCATTGGCGAGATGTTAATTCCTTGAAGAAAGTGTTGTAACAATGTCAACTCACTAGTAGTATGGGCCATCACCCTATATTCTGCTTTTGCACTTTAACCTTGCTACTACAATTTGTTTCTTACTTTTTAGAGAGATAAGATTACCACAGAGGAAAATACAGCAACCAGTAGTGGATTGTCTATCTGACGAAGATCGTACCTAATCTGCAGTTACAAAGTAGCGTTGTAGAGCAGGATTGTAGCATATACCCCTTCCGTGTTTGGGAATAACCAAGGAAAATACATTTTATAGAGCGAGAGTCGAGTTTGTCACGGCCAGGACCAAAGTGATGAAGATAAAAAACACCTAAAAATTTTAAAAAGTAATGAGTACGATGGAGAGGAGAAAAACAAAAGAGAGAAAGGAGATGTACCGTCTAAAACAGAGGATGACATGCGATTAATAAGATAGCATGCAGTAAGGACAACATCACTCCAAAAACGTTTAGAGATGTGCATATGACAAAGAAGAGCATGAGTAACTTCTAACAAATAACGATTTTTGCATTCTTCAACTCCATGTTGCTGTGAAGTTTATGCGTAAGATTTTTGATAAATAATGCCTTTGGAAGAGAGGGGATACAAAAGAAGAAGACATTCTTTGGCATTATCAGACCGCAAAATGCGAATTTTTTGATTAAATTGAGATTTGATCAAAGTACGAAATACTTGAAAGATAAAAAGTAACCCAGAACGATATTTCGTTAAGAATAAGTAAGTCACATGATAATGGTCATTCACAAAAGTGACAAAATATCGAAATTTATTAGAAGAAATATTGGTTAGTTTCCGTACATCAGAGTGAACCATCTCAAATAAATTAGAAATACGACCAATAGTTCTTATAGGAAAAGACACACGATAATGTTTGCTAAGCTGACAAGCTTCGCATTGAAGGGAGAACACATTATGAAGACTTACAACTTGATGTTTTAAACTGGAAAGAGAATTGTGACTAAGATGACAATGTAGTTGCATGGGTGAAATAGAAGATTGGACGGCTAGAGGAGAGTGGTGAAAGATTGAGGTAATATAAGCCACCAACTTCATGCCCCATGCCAATTATCTTTTCGTCTTGAGATCCTGAAATACAAACAAGGATAAAAGGTTACAGAATATTGAAGAGTTGTGGTAATTTTACTAATAAACAATAAACTAAAGGGAAAGCCAGGAACATTCCACCAACTTCATGCCCCATACCAATCATTCTCTTCGTCTTGAGATCCTGAAAAACACATAAAGAAGGATAAAAGGTTACAGAACATTGAAGAGTTGTGGTAATTTTACTAATAGACAATAAATTGAAGGGAAAGCCAAGAATATGAAGAACAACCGACATATCAATATTAGGACTAAGATGGGCATTGTCCGAGCCTACAACACTTGTTCGGGAACCATTAGTAAGAGTGACACATTT